AGGGAAAGGAGGAAACTGTGTGTGTGTGTGTGTTTTGAGGAGGAGTCCTGCGGAAACAGAAACAGAAAGGAAAGGTCTAAATAGCTGAATATTTACAAAGTCCATGAGATGACGAAGTACCAAAGGCGGAGTGTGGTGTGTGAGAGGAATTCTAAGAGGAAAAGAACATTATATAGGAATGAAATCACTAAAGATTGAACAATTAATTATGAAGGGGTTTAGACTTTATCTTGAGACTCCTCAAAACCAAAACCAAACCCTCTGCGACAGTGACCTCCTAGACAGCGTAGAACTGCTCCTTAGGGTTTCCGAGATGGTAAATCTTTACTAGAACAGACAACTTCGTCATTCTCACATGGAATGGCTGGTGGGTTTTAACTACTGACGACCTTCTGGGTAGCAGCCCAATGCTTAACTCACTGTGCCACCAGACTCCTTATCCTAAGGATATGTTGTTGTTGTTAAGTGCCATTGAGTCGATTCTAACTCATAGTGACCTTGTATAGGGTTTCTGGGGAGTGACTGGTGGATTTGAATTGCCAACTTTATTATTAGCAGTTCTGTGCTTATCCTACAGTATACCATATCAGGACTCCTTAGTTTGGATTAGCTCTAGGTTTTTAATTTTATGACTAATCCTACTTTTGTTTTTGAATACTCAGTCTAGCTAGAGTATGGAGGAAGGGCTAAGTGAGGTAGGATCACAGATATGGAGGCCACGTAGGAGAACCTTGACACTTTGAAGAGGATGGTGGTTGAACTTGGATACTGACAGAAGAGACAGGAAGTGAATGAATCTATACCCTGTTAAGGGGTGAGAATTGACCCAACCTGGCAATGTAGTGAAATGGGAACAAGGGAGAGGGAGCTATCAAAGATGATGCCAACGTTTTGTCTTGGGCAGCTGCACTGATGCTTGTGCTGGTCACTGATACAGAAAACAAAAAAGTAGGTACAGGTTTGGGTGAAACTAAAAATTCAGCTTGGCACATACCGTTTTGTGTCCAACTGTATTTTTCCAAAGATGATCATGCCTGTATTCTTATTCTAACCCTCATGTTTCTCTTAAAGGATGACATCACCCACAGGTAAATGAGCAATCTGGTCCCTTCACTAGAATCTGGAAGGGAGTTTGTGACAGTACCAAGAATGGTGTATGGTATAAGTGATGGTAGGTAACTTCCAAGGCTTGGTTATAAATAGTTGGCACAGCTTCTGCCTGATTCTCTTTTGAGAAGCTCATACTTGGAATCCAGCTGCAGTCTTGTGAGAAAGTACACATGTGGGTGTTTCAGTCCAGAGGGCTATCTAGTTCCTCAGTGCATCCCCAGTCATACAAGGAAATTAGATTTTAGATGACTCCAGACTCTGACTTCTACTCATCCACCTGAGGTCCCAGAACCAGGGACTAGAGATAGAGTCACATCTCCATTGCGCCTTGTCTAAATTGCTGCCCCCCAGACGCTATGAGACAGAAAGGTGTGTATTGTTTTAGGCCATTAGGTTTTGAAGTAATTTGTAATGAAGACATAAATAAATAATACACTGACTTTGGAGTGCTCATGAGATACACGTAGAAATATTACACAAGTTTTTTTTTTTCTCTCTCAATGTTAAAGTTTTAAAAAATCTGTTTAAAAAGAAAACTTACCAGCAAGTACTCTTCCAGTCCTTGTTATATTCACTGTTCATCAAAAGGACTTTGAAAACCAGACTGTTTGGCCTTCCCTAACTTTGGTCAAGGAAGGGAGGAAGGCATTATGATTAATACCACTCTTAGATGGAAGTTACTGAAATGACAGAGTAATGACAACTGTGCCCTTTGGCACAGCACTGACACCACCCAATTTCCTCCCAAAACACAGATGGGTAGGTATTAGACTCTAAAGACTGGAATTAGGTCTGATCTAGCCCTCCTATCTCATCAAAAGAAGGTTGGCTCTGACACCAAGAAATAACAGCTTGGTTGTGTTAAGAAATTTTTATTGTCTCCTTTGGATTTGTGATGAAAGCACATAAAATTACAAGTGGAAGAAACATCATGCCACAAAATTGCATAGAATTATTACAAAAATGTGAATTACGCAATTTAAATAATTTGAGATAGAAGAACCAATATATGTACACTTGAAGAGCTTCAAATACTTTGTCCTATTTTTTTTTTAAAGGCTAAAGTCACAATGTCCAATCCATCACAAACAATATTAATACAGTGTACAAGTGCAACATTAAATTCAAAGTAAAGCAAGCAATGGCCCTTTCTTTCAGAAGGATTTCCTATCTGCTTATCTACTTCAGGAGTATTATTTAATGTATGGAGATGACAAAAATGTTAGAAACCCAAAAAAATATATGACATGTCATTGGAATTCTGGGAATTGGTTCAAACGGCCCAAACCATGCTATTCTCAGTAGTTAGTGTAAAGGTATCAGAGGGGTACAGTCTAATTTAGTACACAGCACTAGGAAAAACCACAGTACGGAATTTAACACATTCAACAGAGAACAAGGCAAAAACATAAAGGCACAAAACTGCACATCATACAGACCCTTTTTTCTTTATCTTAGTCTATTTCAAGTAATATTAATATTATTAAATGATAGTATCACTGTAGTAGTTTCAAAGATGCAAGATGGACAGTGTTATACACTACCCCCACAACTGCAAAAGTGTCACTGTACAGATATAAAAATGGGCTTACAGTAAATGGCCAAATACAAACATCTTGTAAAATGACAAAAGTCACTAACATAATGAAATCCAACTACCAAAAACAGTTTTGTGTAAATCAAGGTTATTAACCTTAGTCTATCTCTGGACACTCTTCTGTAATAGTCCCTGTTGTGTTTGGTTATGAATGCTGTTACTAGTTCATGCCTCTACAATTTTAGTCTATAATGTTTATAAAATGCAGCATTCAAATCTGACCATTCTTGCTTCTCTATGATTAATGACTTTTCTTCCAAAGTGCAAACGTAGAATGATTTAGTAAAGATTTCTCTTTCAGTAGAGGTTAAGTTTTATTAAGTGTCTAATTAACACCCTAAACTTTTCAGATCAAAATATAAGCATCTCCAAAGAATATTTGATTTTTTCCCTTCTGTCTCTCTAAAAACAATTTTTATTTTTTTCAAATCAAACTTTCTTTCCTAGTGTTTGAACTAAACTTTCATTTTGATTAAAACTTAATTGTGATCTCTAGTTATTGCTTAAAGGTAAATAAAATAATTTTCATAAAAAATATTTAATTCTTGAAGCACACTTTTCAGGACACAACTGCTTTTTGCATTTTAAAAGGTTTGGCTTGGCTACCATGAGACAGGTTTATTTTGCATTAAAATAAAGCTGTGAGCATCTTACTTCTGGGCTTTAATGCTCTGTGTGGTACTCACTGAATTGCATTTTCCTAGATCTAATTGTCCTCTCTTACTTAAAAACCTTCCAATAATGTTTTTGATCAGTGTGACCGTGATATAATTTGTTTTTCTTACGCTAGCTAAAATAGGAACCAAACAAAAAGACACGGGTACATGAATTAAATGTACATAGTAAATATATAATGAAAGATTACTTATGTTAGAATAAAATTGAAATCTGGCAGACTTAAAACTTATGAAATATAATAATAAATTTCCATATAGCTGTTCTATATATATCTTTGTGCATTCTGACCATTAAAACAAGCTTACAAACTGATTCTTAAAATTAAATTTTTGACCCTGCAAAATATATATACAATTCATATTCTAAATTCTAAATTGACCTCAGCTTGCATTACTGTCTCTATCACCTTATTTCTTAGTGTTTCAATAAATTTAACATCCATGTAATCGAGACGCTTGACCCTTTTCTTCTCGACCCTTTGATCCCTGAATTTTGTGTAAGTTTTGTGGATGAGATTGGGTCACTGTCAATTAGTAAACACACAGTTGCTCATGTGTGTGTGTGTGTATGTGTGTATGCACTTATATGGCTGAGTGCACACATACATACAAGTGTATGTGGAGACAATATATCATTTATATGTGGGTCTGTGTGTTCTTTAGATAAATATTCAATCTTCTCTATATTAAAAATAAATGGAGCAAAAACTGTCAGACAGCACAATAACCACTGGAGTCTGTTTACTCTGATTGAATCTCTGCTCAACATACATCAGTTTAACTATACTGATTCAACAGAACTGATTTGTTGTATTTATTTTATCATTTCAGGCAACAACCCAGACTGAGTGTAAATCATCAGTTCAGATTGCATACTGCCTGTAGGTGGGCAGCCAAATTGCGTATGTAGTCAAATTTATAAGGCATATTGCCAAGTCCTATGAAGGTTTCACCAGGTCTGGATACAATCAAGTGATTTTTTTCCCCATAAAAATAAAACCAGCTAATTTGAGTCACAACATTATCTAATAAAGCCATGTCAGCAACAAATACATAGATGCCTCTATGATAAATTAGCAAACTGCAAGCCACCAGTACTTGCAAAGCAAAAGATGAGAATCTAATATGTTTATTAACTTGAAGATATGGTAGTTGAGGGGCAGTCAGAAACTAAAAAAAAAGGCTCAAAGTTTTCTGTTCAATAGTGTTTAAAATGCTATGCATTTCTCAAACTATTTCTATTACTTTGAAATACTTTACACCACAGCTTCAAATAATAAAAGACCATGAGCCTCATTTTCTTCAAAGAAGACATTGTCCTTCATTAAATCTTCCATGGAGCCTGGAAGTTGCCTGCTTTGAATTTACTATTGGAAAGAAAACACAAATCCCATACACATGCATTCTCCACTAGTAAGTAGGCTTTCAGCGATTTCCACATAATGCACAGAGCCTGGCTGTGGGGACCTCTGCACAGGGATCCTCCCAGAACACTCCTTTGGGGATGGACTTTAGGCTAATGGACGCATCTCAGGAAGATGCTCCAGGGCAGTGATCTTTGATTTAAGTGTGAGTCTGATGAAGCTTGAGTGGCCATGCGTGTTCGGAAGGCCCGGCAGGAACAATCACAGAGGAGTATCAAACTCTTTTCCTTTATCTCCTTCCAGTTCTTCACTGGAGGGAGGCTTGTGGTTCAGTTTTCCAGGATCTGGGGCCTGAGATGGGAGGGCAGAGCTGTGATTGCTGTCTTCACTGATCTTTCCTTTCATGGCTTCTTGCACAAACTCCAAAATCTCCAGGGGCAGCCTTTTGAACTTGTCTTGGTACTCTTGCTCCAGTTCCGTCTGTAGCTGGGAGATATAGGAGAGAAGGATATTAGGTCATTTAGGTTTTTATAATCACTCATGTAGAAACTTCTTGAAAGACTTACACAAAGGTAGGAGGGGAATACATTAACATATCAACTACTGGCTATTGTTGTTACTTATCAAAAAATCAATTCCAAAGCATTGTGACCCTCAAGTGTGCAGCTCTACTCTCCATGGAGTTTCCAAAGCTGTGACTTTTCAGAAGCAAGTTGCCAGGCAGGTCTTCTGAGATGCCTCTGGGTAGGTTTAAACTGCCAATCATTCAGTTTAATAATTTAGCATTAACTGTTTGTACCACACAGGGAGACAACCATGGTTACCCATACAGAAGAGGTAAAGCAGAGTTTAATTGGACATATCATCTGTTGTTTTTCTTGTTGTTGTTGTTGTTGGACAAGGCTTGTTGTTGTTGCTGTTAAGTGCTGTGAAATTGGTTCCGACTCATAGCAAACCTGTATAGGGTTTCCAAGGAACAGCTGTTGGGTTTGAACTGCCAACCTCATGGTTAGCAGTCAAGTGCTTCTCCTATAGCACCACATCAGAATTCCATAATAAGACTAGTGATATGGAATAATATAAAGCAATATATCAATACACATACAGAAACTATCTTTTAGAAACCTTTCTAGGGGAAGTAGTCAATGTCCTGAAGATTTTAACCTTAAGATTTGGAGGCTATTGGTAGCTGAGCGTATCAGTGATCAGTCAAAAGTAGGGCTGGAGAAAGCTAAGCAGCTGACTGGAATGACAGACGTTTGCTGACAGAATGGAGGAGGAAGCTTCTACAATAGCTGGGAGGCCAACCTAGGGGCTTATAAAGAAGCTCAGTACATTTGACACACTGGACACCATGTAACCAGTTTCAACCTTTATTCTGACTTCATTTTACCGCCTCTTAAACTTGACTTATTTTTCACTCCAATTTATATTTGCCATGTTTAACAACTTTCTAAAATGTCATTTAATTTATCAGTCTGAGGCTCTGGAGAACTTGCAACATTTTCAGAGCACAGAAAAATTTCTTCAAATTTATCCTACCATGGTAGCCCTGGTCATAAAGCAGGTGAAAGCTGGGATTCTCCAGTAGTAGTGGGGTTCTTCAGTAGGTCCGGGCTATGGTGTGAGTTCTGCCTGTTGGAATACTCTGTTGGGCTGATCCCACTGACAACCCAGAGTTTTAGATACACTTCTCTTAGCTGATTGAGTGATGAGCAGGGAGGGGAATCTTAAAAATGGCATGTGGCACTAAATCCTTTTCTCCTCTTCTTAACCTTAGAGTTTTCCATAAGCTCTGCCCTTAAAATTTTAAGTTATTTATACCTGTACTTTTTGAACGTCCAGGTGCATATGAACTATCTGGGATCTTGATTTTGATTCTTATCCAGGAGCTTTCTGTGGGTCTGAGATGCTGCATTACTACAAGCTCCCAGGTGCTGTTGTTGTAGGTGGTCTGCTTTGGACACCTGCTAGTGCCACTCCTGGTCCTACTCTGGGCTCCCAGTTTGATGTTTGGTTTACATCCTGGCTCTGTGTCCTTCATTGCAGACTCAGACCCATGGACCAGCGGGTAAGCCAGCCCTCGGACCTTCCGCCCTTCCGTCCTCTTGATTCTCAGGCTCACCACCCTGTGGAGTGATAGCTGCTTGAGAAATGCATTTTCTTTAGCTCAACTCCCTTCTCTCTTGCTTCCACACCACGGAAAATTTGGCAGGTTATTTAATACCAGCTCAGCGGTTCGAAACTACCAGCTGCTCCGCAGGAGAAAGATGAGGCTTTCTACTCCCGTAAAGATTTACACCCTCGGAAACTCTATACAGGGTCGCTATGGGTCGGAACCGACTCGATGGCATATAACAACAACAACAACAACATAACTTCTTGGAGTCCTGGTTGGTGCTATAGGATAAGCAATGGATAGCTAACCTCAAGGCTGGTGATTAAAACCCACCAGCCACTCCTTGGAAACCCTAAGCAGGGTTGCTATGAATCAGAACTGGCTTCATAGCACTTAACAACAACAGTATAATTTCTTACCTGCAACTCTAAAATCGCCTAAGATCTAAAATACAGAAGGTTTTAAACAAAAAATTGTGGGAGATTCTTTGACATGAGCAGATCTAGCACTATTTATAGTCCTTCTTTATCTCACTTCATGTAGCTCTCCATGCACTTTTGCACTTTATTGTAGAAATGTTAGTATTTTTGATAATCAGGGCGATGCAGACTTCCCTGGCATGGTATGCTTCTGGCATCTGTATCATGTTACTTTCCTAAAACCAGAGATTCACAGGTGAAGCAAAGGCACAGTCAATTCCTCTGTACCATAACTTTTACAATGTGACTCTGTAGCTCTTTCCATCAAGGGATGGAGTATGGTTTACATTCCTTGAATTTCCAATAGCCTTGTGATTTGCTTTATCAAGTAATGGACTTTCTTTTGTCCTATTGTTACTGAAGGCCTCTGCTCAGCTATCAGGCTAGCCTGTTGGAGGAAGAGATTCATCACCCAAGTGCATCCCACCCCATCACTTCAATTGTCTACCTGACTGAAAACTGCAGCTTTCCTAAACCAGGCAGTCCTTAGGTGACCCAATTGATAAACCATGCTTACTGAGATCAGCTGAGCTTAGCCCAAATTAGAACGTCATGGACTCATCAACTTAGTTGTTGTTGTTAAGTGGCATCGAATCAGTGCCGACCCATAAACAACCCTGTATAAGGTTTCCAAGGAGTGACTGGTGAGTTTGAAGTGCTGATCTTGCAGTTCAAATGACTTTGTATTCTGGCACATTAACCCACAGTGTCACATCAGGACTTCTCATGAACTTAGTAAATATCTATTCTTTTCAGCTGCTGAATTTTGTAGTTGTTCTTTATACAGCATTATTGTTACAGTAACACAGTGAGGGACTACAAAGGGGTTTTATACATGGTCCTGCCTCATGAAACACTCATCATGTAATTCAGCTGGCTGAATCTTTGCATTGCTTGGCCCCAGAACACATACTTAGGGAAAAATCACCACCGGGCAGATAGATGTTTATAAGAAATCGGATTTTATAGGGTGTGCCTTGGGGCTTTCCTACAACATTAGCATGCCCGAGTTTACTTGATCTTCAGTTTACATGCTCTATTTTTAGAAAATGTGCAGAAAACCAAGAATTCAGCCTCTAATATTAAGAGAACAAGTTGTTACATTATACTTAGATAATGAATAAATAAGAACATTGGCCGAGAGTTTGCTTTACTAGAGCAGAATTTCTCCAATTTGACTTGTTGGACTCAATTTTGAAATTCTTGAATTAATTTAATTAAAAAAAATGTATACATGGTGCTTCTATGACTTAAGCATTGGGCTGCTAACTGAAAAGTTGACAGTTCAAACCCACTAGTCGCTCCTCTAAAACCCTAGACAGGGTGCTATGAGTAGGAACCAACTCCGCTGTTCTTAACAGCAACAACATTGCAAACAGAAAAAGGCAACAGTCACATCCAGATGTGTTCATCCTGAATACCTTGTGTAAGAATTTTGCACTTGTAATGTTATGGTGCCGCTGACATTTTTAAAGTACTGAAACAAGAATTATTCCTAGCTAAGCAAAGTTTTTTTAGATGCACAGATGTAATGAAGACCTAGAGCAAGCGACACATGAAAGTTAGTTTACAAACAGAACAACAACAATGCAATCTATTATATGTGTGGCATACATATGAAATAACTGTAACTAACAAGACAGGATCAAAATCAATTTTCTCAGGAAATACGTGGAAACCAGAGAGTAATCAACTATTATTATCAAATTATTATCCCATTGTTATTATTATGGGATATCAAAGAAAGAAGAAGTAAAATAAGTATTACTGGGAAATACACAGACAGCTATTTATTGTGATTTTCAAAAGGTTGAGATGCAAAAGCATTGGCTGGCCAGAACTCAAATCAAGGTTTTAATTTGCTTTCAAATAAATTTCATGTAGGGGCATCTTGGGAGTCAGTTAATGAACAATTGAGAATATCTCATTTCTTGGTAGTTGTTACTATCTGCTAATCTACTAATGTTTTCTTGTTAGGAAGAGAGATGAAAAAGGGAAAATGAGTGCCCAAAGAGAATTCTGAACAAGCTTCAGACTGAGAAAGTCTTTCTTCTCTTGAGGAAATAACTGAGATTAAATGCATTGGTTAAAATCTCATTCTATGAGGTCCTCACCTAGATGGGATTATTCAGAAAGAGAATGGGTTTGAAGCTTTACAAAGAACCTAAGGAAGGTAATAAACCCACTGCCATCAAGCCGATTCTGATGTATAGTACACTTTGTAGGGTTTCCAAAGCTGTAAATCTTTACAGGAGCAGACAACCTGTAAACTCTTCTCTTTCTTTCTGGAAAAGAATAATTTTGTTATTGTTGTTAAGTGCTGTCGAGTCAGGTTCCGACCTGTAGAGACCCTGTATAGGGTTTCCGAGGAGTAACTAACTGGTGAACTTGAACCACAGGGCTCCTGGTTCAAGCGGACTTTGCAGTCCAGCGTATTAACCAACAGTGCCACACCAGGATCCTGAAATTGTTTAGATGTTGCATAATTCTGAAAGAAAGTCATGTTTGTTGTTGTTATTGTTTGAGGCTGTCAAGACAGTTCTGAATCATAGCGACTCCTATATAGGGTTTCCAAGGAACGGCTGATAGAGAGTCTTTCCTAAATCCTCCTTCCTTTGTGTATATCTAACATAAGCTGCATAATCATAGAAGAATGACCCAGTTTGGAACTCAGGTCCAATTCAGGTCATTTCATCCATTGAAGTTTATTAAAGACCTTAATATAAAGAGTAAAGCAATAAAAACCTTAGGAGAAAATGTAAATGAATGATTACGTTATAATCATAAGGTACTTAAGAATTAAGTAAATCAGGAAATCAGACATACTTATCTAAATAAGAATAATATTTTCTGTGAAAAAATGGATAAAATTAAGCAACTCATAGGAG